AGGTGTTTATGGGGTGGCTGCCTTACAAACCCCAATATCTCACTGGCAGCCTCGGGGATGGCCATGTGTGCATCCGAGTGGAATTGTGTTGTAAGCCAGCAGAGTACATGGAAACTGCATAGATTAATATCCATTGAGGTATATTTTGGAAACATGGGGATATAGCTAAAAGAATTAGCAGTGTGGGAGCTGTCTCTAAGAAAAGGGACTTGGGGGGCGGGGGGTACAGCCCACTGCATCTGGCTATGTCCTTTCTACCACCACTTGGCATTTTTAAGCTATGCATATCATATACTTTATTGGAAATTAACCTTTATTAAAATTAACTACTGCCCATCAGACATGTCCTTAGAAAATTTAAAGTCAAAATCCCATGAGGTTAGGCTCATGGCTGTTAAGGAGTTGGAGGAATACACGATCCCGCATTTCCCCCTGATAGTTCACTGAGGTTTGGATGATGGAGAATGTCAGCAGCCCTGGCTTGCTGCCTCAGCCCTGCACTAGCTGGAGGTACCTCCCCTGCTCCTCTGGCCACCCCAGAGGAGCCAGCCCTCGCCCAGAATGTATTTCAAAAGCTTTTTCCATGACCAACTGCCGAAGACCAGCTCCGGCAAAATGTCGTGTCAGGAGTCCCTTCAAGGATGAGATGGCGTCGGCAAAACTGAGGGCTGAGGGGAAGGGGGTTGAGGCAGACACAGACACTCTATCTGGTGCAAGTATCTCCTGCTGAGGGTCTCAGCGGGTCTTTATACATTAAGGCAAGTCATCATCAGCATTGAAGCAAAACAAAGACAATCATTCCATGTTTTCTCATGAACATATAGAGACCCTCTTGGTCTCATACCAAAAGGGCACTTCTTTGATCATCTTAAGGAAAACATCAGAGACAATTAGTTTTCTTGGTGCAACTCATTTCCCAGCATGATCAATTATCTAAGACAGCACAATATTCAGGAACAATTAATCATCCTATTAAACTTTCCTAATTGCGGAGCGGGCGTGGAAGTCCTATCCTGTATTCTGTTCCTTAAATCAACCTATCTCCCGAGCACACAAATAATCCAGCTAATTTATCAATTACTTCAAAGTGGCCTAAAGTAACTCATCAAATCTATTTTAATTCTACAGAAGTCTAACTCCTAACTAGAAATACCTAACCTCCACACACCCTGCGAACTGTTGGCCTTACGCATACACCGGGAGATGTATTGTTGCCGCAAACAGGTACCCCCCAGATTAGGCTATGGTTTCCAAGCACAGCTGGTTCAGGGCAGCTTGTTCTCCATAGCTCTCAGGGCCGAAACATTTCTTTCCTAACTTTACCTTAGCAATTTGACTTTCTTTTGTAATAGCTCATGCGTAAGAACAACAGGCCCGTTAACACCTAGGTCCGAATTAGGTTTTCACAAGCCAGTTTATAACTAACTTACTTTTGCATTAACCAAGAACAAACAGAAGAGTATTAGTAGTGTTGCTGTGGAAACTCCCTTATTCAGATCTTCTGGAAAGTGAGGAAGCTCCCCTTTTCTCGGGAGTCTCCCCCAATGCCCGGACCTTGTCAAGAGACAGCCTGGGTAGCGCAGCCCACAGCAACCAACTCATGTTCAAGCTTCTAGAGCCTTCAGCCCCAACCAGCCATGTTGATCCCTGTTGCCTCTGCCCTCGGCTGGCCCTGGGCCCCTTTCTGCCTTCCTCCTTCCTCACCTACTGCCGACTGCCCGCTCCAGGCTCAGATGTACATGTCTGCTCTGCTTCACACATTCCCCCTGTCTCAACCTTGCCCCCTTCTACCTGTCTGTTCTGGCAGTACCTGCCCCCTGCCCCAGAGGCAGTAACCAGAAGGGGAACCTCCCTTCTCTTACTTCCAACATGGCATTCTCTTCCGATGTTGCTTCCCCCTCCACAGCATTGACCTTGAGAGCAAGTACAAATTGCAACTATTTCAATAACCTTCAGGTTATGAGACGATCTGTCTTGCAAATGCACAGCATTGCTCAGTAGGGTCTACGGGGAATAATAGAAATTAAGTCACGGATAAGGAAAATTATGACTTGCTGGGGGCAGCAATGCCCAATCACCACAGGTGCTACAGCAGCATTAGCTTTTATTTATATTTATTTAGTATCTTGAATCTCTAATATCTTCAGGTTACTGTAAAGCAGACTCTGTCCCATAGGACTTTGCATATGGAGTAGAATTAGATGTAGCAAGGGTGTGGGGCGGGGGGTGGGGGTAGACAGCGATTCACTTACCCATTGATTTAATAATTATCTATTGAGTACTTAGTATGTTTGGGGGCCAAAGTTTACAACAATGAAATGGTTTTCTCCTGCTTTTAAGGAGGTTCCGGTCTTCTGGGAGCAATATCCACTAACAATAATCTGTACGTTCCTCGCCTCGTGAAGTGCAATGAGCCTGGACAAGGCACGCATGCTGGTTTGCTATAACCAGAAATCCCAGAGACCATGCCATGGGCTGATCACAACGGGCCTCACAGGAGTTCACCAGGGGCAGGAGTGACAGAGACCTAACTTTGTTATTGTGTGCCCTGCTCATTAGAACCTTTAAGCCCTCACCCAATAAGTCTGTTTACTTACAAACTCTACCCAGGTACCACTGTTCTCCTATGTTGTAAACATAAAGTATAACTAAAATCGATATTTCAAAAGATGATATTAAAAATTAAGTAGAGGGCCTCCCTGGTGGCGCAAGTGGTTAAGCACAGCACTGTGAAGCTGTCTGCAGCCTCTGCAGCACGAGTTCTGTCCCCAGCCGGCCAGGGAGCTGACCCACATGGCGCAGCAGACCTCTTCTGTCTCGCCCGCTGCTCCCCTCAGCAGTGTATTTCAGTCAGTCTGCATGTTCTGCTCCCCACTCTGTCTCCGGTGGATCCTCTCACCCCCTGCATCTCTGGCCTGTACCCCAGTTTTTGTATGCATAAATAAATAAATCTTTTTTAAAAATTTTTAAATAAAAATAAAAATTAAGTAGAAATAGAATTTCCAATATCCTCGCTTGTGCCCCAATGGCTCTCCTTCACCCCTTCCTGGGAAGGCACCTCAAAGGCACCAGCGAGCAGAGTAGAGACTCACTGTGACTAGTCGCAGTTCTGGATTCAGTTTATTCATCCAGAGACTTGGGACAGCCACAGGGGGTCACTCTAAAGATATCATGGAATAATCCAGACCTTTCCGGAAGGATGACTGGTCACCTCCTGTCATACAAGGCACAATTTCCCTGGGACTATGTCCATTCAAGAGAACAAATTAGTTTAAAGTTGCTTAGTGAGCATAGAATTAGAACAAATGGCTTTGTGGTCTGTAGGGATATTTCATCAAGCTAGAATAACTGATTGAACTGCCCTTCTCCTCTCTGGGGAGATTTCTGTCTGAATAAGCAGCACTGGATCTCAAATAAATACCGATATATTTCATGTCTAGCTTTCCTTTTTCGGGAATCTTTTTAGACAACTGCCCTTCTGTTAATGCGTCACCACCTCAGAAAACAAGAATGCATTTGATTCAATTGAAATTTTAAAATGCTAATTGCATTCTTGGCCTGGGGATACAGCCCAAAGAGACAGAATTGCCTGTTTCAGGAATCTGCAAACTCCTCCACTGTCTCTGAAGGGTGATCGCCCAATTAGGCTGACCTGAATCCTTCTGGCCTCTGGGCACTCGGCTTCTTCCCTCCTGGAACTGATTGGCGAGAAGGTTGCAACTTCTAGCTTGATTTAGATTTAATCTCGAGAAACCTTCCTTTTCAGCCAGCTGAAGCAGGTGGGCTTCAAGTCCTATCACTGTCTCTCTAGCCAAAGAGTGAGCCAAGAAGAGGGCTCAGCCCTCAGATGAGAGGGAATTAGACAACAGTTCAGATGCTTTCTTTTCAAGTATTATTCTAACCGATATCATATAATAATCTCCTTTCCAAAAGAAAGTGATTCTATTTTTTCCTACTGGAAGCTATGATGTTGTAATCTTTTATAAAATAGTTTAACACTGCTCTAAGATCTGGGGGCCACCTTAAGCAATAGATGTCACCACCTCTGTTTCTACCCCAAGGAAGACATTTATAGACGTATTTTGCAATGAATTACTAATTCTATTTTCTAGATGTCACTCTAGCCTAGATGTCTCTGAAAAGAAAACCAAATAGCATTGATTAAAGGAGAGGGTCATTTAATATCTCATAATAGAGCAATATTTTTATTTAATTTAAAATAGTGGCTCAAGCATAGCCATCCCAACACAAAGTTAATTTTATTTAAGAGTAGTAGTTGAACTTAATGCTGCATACATGCATAGTTTGCATAAAAGAAAGGAAAAAATATAGTACATGGAAACTAATAGCATGAGCCTAGTTGATTCATGTGTTCTTTGAAGGAAAGATTTAGAAAAAAATCAGTTTGAGAAAGAGAGAGGAAAGAGAGATTAAGTTTTAAATCTAAATTTTCCACAATTTTCTGATCTAGTAGGCTTTTATCAGAGATTCATGAGTCGGGCAGCATCCAGTTCAGCAGATAGAAGGGACTTGGAAGGGCCTAATGAGGCAGAGACTGAGTAAACCAAAGTGGGTGGACATCGAAGTTTCACGGGGCACTTGCTGATTGGCTAAAGCAGGCTGCTCCCTGCTGGGAGCACAGGGGAGGCTCCGGACTGGCCAGGTGACCCTTGCTGAGCAGGCCAGCTTGAGTCTGGGACTTGGGCCTTCCTTTTCTGGGAGAATCGCGTCCAGAACCTTAATCACATTTTGGTTGGCTGATGTGGGACTTAGCCTGAGCGGTGCCATCTCGGGCCTAATCTGGTGACATCCACCTGGATTAGTGTTCTCTTTGATGCAGGAAAAGCTTTCGTAACTAACTCCGTTGTGATAGCAATTGGCCTCAAAAATGTGCACATTAACTCAAAGGCATCTGTCCCTGGGACAGGAAGTTGATGACTTATAATTTATTTCTTTACAAGGCCCATGGTGTAAATCCCTGTTCCTTTTTGTTCCCACAGGGAATTACTGGAACGCTGCCTCCTTCCCAAACCCGTCCTCCTACCTGCACTTCTCAACTTTCCAAGGGGAAACAAGCGCTGACATTTCTTTCTACTTCAAAACACTCACCCCCCGGGGAGTCTTTCTGGAAAACCTCGGGAACACAGACTTCATCAAGCTGGAGCTAAAATGTGAGTACCCTTTGCAGGGGGCTGCCCTCCCTGCATCTGTCCTAGACCTGATGACTTGGCTTCCTGCATTCAAACATCAGTGGTTTTCTTTGTTCCAGAAAGCGCTAAGGTCCCCAAACTTCAGTAAGACCAAATGCCCATGCTGGGGTTTCTCACAAGGAAGCAGGCACATAAGACTCCCACACATATGCCACCCAGCAAAACAAGAGAGGAAAAATTGCCCTCACAGCAGTGGGAAGTAGGATGTATATTAAATGTCCTTTTGTGTGTGTGTTTGTTTTGCAAGGAGACAGAGGGTTGTGTAAAGTCATCTGCAGAACAGGAGTTGGGGGGTGCACAAGGGAAAGTGGGGACCATAATGGAACTGCCAACATATTGTCTGTGCATTAATGGAGCAAAGGAAGTTTGAGTTTGCTGCTTTCCAGGAGGGACCCCCACATCCACACACTCTCTGAAGGTCTAAGTTCTGAATTTATTTAACCAAGGATCAGAAACTAAGTGAATCAGAGCTATGGCATGTCCTGCCAAGCTATGCTCCACTTGCTGTGGGTCCCAGAGATCGTCAGAGGTCCCAGGCATGGGGAAGCCATCTGTGGTGGCAGGAGTGCCACTGGGTCCTGTCATCCCAGGTCCTATTTATCCTTGGGCACATGTTCAGCTCAAGGAATTTACAATCCACAAACTTCCAGATCTGGTGAATATTTGTGAAATCTCCAGGCTCTACTGCTCCAGATAAAGACAGCAAGATGACAGATGGGACCAGGAGAGAGAAGCAGCCAGTGCCCCACATCCCCAAGTCCCTCTACAAAACCTGGGTGCCACCCCCACTCAAAGTCTCCATCCTCCCTCCGCCTTTCCATGAATCATCTGTCACCATTAGAATCACAGACCCTCGGTCATGGTGATCTATGTCTCCACCTCAACACTATTTACAAGAGCCCAAGCAATGGAAACAACAGGTATCCAACAACACAAGTGGATAAAGAAGAGGTGGTACATACATACAGTGGAATATTACTCAGCTATGAAAAAGGATGGAATCTTACCATTTGCAACAACGTGGATCAACCTGGAGGGGATTATTCTAAGGGAAATAAGTCAAAAAAGAGAAAGACAAATATCAGATGATTTTACTCCTGTGTGGAATATAATGAAACAAAGCAAAGGAACAGACAAAACTAAACCAAATCGAGCCGTAGAAATATAAGTGTAGAATTGAAACCGGGGTAGGGGGGATTATGGACTGTGGTAGAAGGTTATGGGTGATTTGGTAGTGAGTGTGGTGTGGTAACATATACCTGAAGAGGAGTCAACCTTTACCTCTAAGTCACATGCAATATTGTAAACCAATGTTACTGCCATAAAAATAGGTCAAAGTCAGCTACAGAGACAGAAGTCAAAATACTCTTTCTTTCAATGCTGATTGTGCTCTTGCAAGCATGGTGAAGGTTCATAAAACCCACCGGACATTCTGTAAGAAGTGTGCCAAGCACCACCCCACAAAGTGACACATTCAAGGAGGGCAGGGATTCTCTGTCTGCCCAGGGAAAGCAGCGATATGACAGGAAGCAGAATGGCTGTGGTGGGCAGACAGCCAATTTTCTGGAAGGCAAAAATTACAAAGAATTTTGTCTGAAACTTGAATGTGTTGAGCCCCACAGCAGGTCTGGAGAATTCTAGCTACTACGACATGTAAGCATTTTGAAGAGGAAGGGGGATAAGAGGAGAAAGGACCAAAGAACCCAGGACTAAGCTCCATCTTTGTTTATTATGAAGACAATCAAATCTTGAGGTTATGTTCACATCAAAAAAATAAGTATAGTGGCCCCCTCTACTCCCTGGTGATAGGGAATGTTGACCAGGAAGGGACACAGGTGAACCGTCTTGCGTGGTAGAAATGTTCTAATCTTGACCTACAGAGTGATGGCATCTGTAAAAATTTAGTCAACTACACAACTGAGATTTTCACGTTTTAGTGTATGTAACTTATACTTCAGTGAAAACAGTGGAAAGAGAGAAAACTCTGCTGTGAAAATATCTTGAGTTGTTGAATAACAAATGTGTTAATAAAGCCCTTGTCTTTTCAGCAAAAGCCATAGATACCATGATTCTAGGTTGATCCCTAGTTGTAAATGCTAACAAAGAATCCATCAAAATTGTCCATTGATACTTGAAGTTCAACATGTCAAAACTGAAATCCAGGGCGTCCCCTGGTGGCGCAGCTGTTGAGCGCTGGGCGGTGAAGCTGCCTGCTGCCTCTGCAGCGCTGGTTGGATCCCCAGCCGCCAGCGAGGGCCCCACATGGCGTGCAGACCTCTCCTGCCATGCCCGCTTTTCCCCTTAGCAGTGTACTTCATCAGTCTGCCTGTTCTGTTTCCCACTATGGCTCTGGTGAATTCTCTCACCCTCTGCTGTACCCAGTGCTTGTATAAATAAATAAATAAATCTTAAAAAAAAAAAAAAAAAGAACTGAAATCCATCATCTTCCCCCAAAAGTCTCTTCTGTGCTCCCCTCCTTGGTTAATGCCATCTTCTCTTCATTCTCCAGGTTAGGAAAGCTCAGTTGTGTCGAGTGTTTCACTAACCTCCCCGCTCCAGACAGACTGCTTATCTTGGTTAACACTGTATTTTCTCATATGGAGAACTGCTCTGCTGACATTCCTGAGGATATGTCAACACATCAGAGCAACCCCAGAGAAAGCATCCATCCCAGCTAGTGACAAAAAAAGATGTGTGGAACATCGATGCAAAGAAAATGAAGTCTTATCGAATTTCTCTGTATGTCCCATGATGACAACTTTTGTGGAAATGGCCTGGATTCTTGATCCAAACAGCCTCATAGTTTTTCTCTCTCTCTCTGTTTCCTCTCTTCTGACATCTGCCCTCCCAATGAGGAGAGATTTCTACAGATCTGGTCCCATCACTCCTTTTCTTTAGACCCTAAAGACAAAACCCAAGGTGCTCAGTGTGTTACAAGAAATGTTCAAGTGTTTAATCTTGGTAAGTGAATTAAGACTTTGAATTAATATTTTAGACTTCTTCCCACAACATGCAACAGTGTTCCACTATTTTCACCCATTCGATACCATCTAGAATTGCCCCCCACAAACTGAAATCCTACCCACATAGTGTTTTTCTTATGCCATCTTAAAACACAAGACAAAAGTCTTTATCTTTCCTAAAAAATATCAAAATTTCTTTAAAACAATTAATTCAGATTGTTGTCTAGAAAGTAATAGGCCTCCTCATCAAAGATCATCTTCACATAGTGTTTGTCTGACTAGAGTTTATATTATGTGTCATTACAATCAAGAAATGCTCACGTCTCGTGGAGATATTTTTTCTAATGGAATTTTTCTTCAATTTAAATTTCTCTGATTCTCATGTTTTCTGAGTTATTTATTGTGTGTAGTCGGCACAAAATCTTTCCCTTCAAAAAGATGGCATGTTAAAGTGTCAAACAGACCAGCTGTTAAAATCAGTCTGCCTATGGCAAGCTGGAAAAAGGACAACAGGAATTCTAAGAGGAGAAGAGATAAAAGAAACTACAATTCATACATCAAGATCTGAGACAGAAATGGGAGGAAGAATGTGTCATTACTACTCATTAATAAACACATGGATTAGTAAGAACAGTAGAAACAGATGTGAGGCATTATGGTGAAGTTAGGGACCTTCCATCCGCCATTCTGGAAGCTAATAGTTTCTCTGCAACCTTAGTATTTTCATAAAAACCAGTGCTCTAAGAAGGAAGAGCTACACCATCATCAGTGAGTGTGTGTTGCTAATGCTGGGATATAAGATCAGCTGCTGTAACAAATAAAACCCTAGTTTCAGTGACTGTTATGCTGTCTGATAAGTATTCTTCTGGTCCAAGAACTCCTTCTACATGAGATTCAGAGATCAAGGCTCCTTTGTGATTCCACCATCTGCTGGAGCCTCGGAGTTTCTAAATCAGGTGAGCAGACAAAGAAAAGGTGAAGAAATTCTGATGTCTTACCACGGTGGCTCAGAGGTGATATGCATTCCTTTGCTCTGGTCCCTGCGTGGTTAACCCACCATAGAGCTCCATCCACCTGCCTCCGAGCTGCAGCTCTTGGATGAATAGATGGAAGATTTTCAAAGGGTAACTAGGAAAAGGAGAAAAGAAAACATTCATGTAAAGTCAGCAGTGTCTGCCATAGATAACTATGGCAACAAAAAGGCATCAGCTTTAACTTGCCAGGAGACATCGCGGTAGATTTCCAAAAGATGAAGCATTTGGTTTGCAATGAAGACTGACTGGCAAGTAAATGAGATCAAGGCATTTTCTCCAGACAGTAAACGGTACAGGCAAATGCAAGTCAAGGAGGAAGATCGTGGAGCAACTGAGGAATTTAAAAGAATAGCTAAAATCTGGGGACCCGTTAAAAGGCATTTTTCTTGAAAGTAATGTCACCCTCAAGTATCTGCTAAGAGTTTGACAAAAGAAAGGTGGCTAGACCTTAAGCCTCTTAGGAAATGACACATTTTACTTGGCTTTGCAGATAGTGTTAAAATGATCAAATTTGGTTTTCTGTATCTCTGAATTTGATTCCTCTGATGAAGTCTGATGAGATGCAGAGTGACTGCTCATGACGAGTGTTTGATATTTAGCATGCTACAGGGTGTTTCTGGGTAAGAGCAACCGAGCCTATGAACAACAGAACAGTGTGTATCTGTCAAGTGTAATTACAACACTGAGTTAGCTTCTCTTGAGTCCTGATTCCTGCAGACATTAGCGTAAACTCCCGAACATGCCGGCACTTCAGGCCAGTGAGGAGTTTTCTTTGGATAATAGCATGCCTTTCGTATTTTTAATTAGGAAAAATAATTCACATCTAGCTCAAAATTACTTTATTCTCAAGTTTGACCACTCCATAGTCTCAGTTATCCTAAAAACAGGGGAAAAGTAGAGAGGAATGTTTCAATGTTCTATTAAATTTCCTCTAAGTTTCTGTATTTAAATGAAATCTCCTTCT